GTGAAATTGCCCTTGCATTGTGACAGTGACCTCATCATAGAAACAACTTGCTAAACAGTAAACTGCTTCATGTTGAAGTGCTCTTTCCATGCAAATAGATTGCCTTTAAATTAATTTTCTTTCTATTTTTTAGAATGTAAAGTCCATATAGATCGGTAATCGGTAATCATTCATTTGATCATTTTTCATACAACGTTGGGCTCTTTGGTTATAGAACACACCGCTTTCTCAATTATCACCAACATACATTCTCTTCTCCCATACTGCATTGCACTGTGTAATACGAGAACCCTATACCTTTAATGGGCTATCCTCCTTCAAAGTTTCTGCAGACGTCAAAGGCACTTCTTTAATAGCAGTCTAAAGAAGTGATCATGTTTACAATCATAGGGAAAAGGGAATATTGCAAAATTTAACTGTCTTGGGGAGTATTGTCTTCTGAACCTGCCTGTTTCCGAGAAGCCAATGCAAAGTTCTAATATGTCACAATTCAAATGTCAACATGCTGCTGGAAAGGAAGCCAATAAGCTGAACCTGTGAAAGCTGCCAAAAGAGGTGATGCTAAGTGTTGAGAGAAGTTCATTGTTCCTAAAAAGGGAAGTACGCTTCCAGTGTGAACCTTCTTCATCCATTTAAGTGTTTTGTTCACAAGAAAGAACTCGTCCTTTTAGCACAAATCTGTAACAATGTAACTGGTACCTCATTTTATTTTCCAATTCAACTTATAAAGTCTTTAAAAATAGCTATAAAGAAAACAAGAAAACGGTAATATGGCACATTAAGAATGGAGAATAGCAAAAACTCAGAACAAAATTCAGCTTTTCGTAAAATGATTTCAATGAGACAGAATCTGATTTTCTGTGTTTAATCGCTTTGGTTTATTTCACTTTAAATTATAGCTTTGTATTTTGTTTTATTTTGTACGATAAGCCTGTATATTTTTTTATATATTGTGTCTTTAGCATTATTTATGGAGCTCCTGGAAAGATCTGTGTTGCATATTTGAAAGTTTTATTTGGTTGGAAAACATTGTTTGATACACAATTGTTCTCTGCTGATGGCCAACACCAGTTCTTACGGCCTGTTTAGACCTTCCTCAGCATACACAAATCACCATACATATTATGGCCAAAATTTTGTGGACTCCTGACTATCACACCTACACTATTATGGCTATAAGGAAGTAGAAACCCCCCAGTGTACAAAAGCCATTGTAGACAATTGTGCACTTCCAACCTCGTTGTGACAACAGTTTGGGGGAAGGCCATTTTTAGTTCCAGCATATCTATGTCCATGTACACAAAGTCAGGTCCATAAATACAAGGTTTGGCAACTCTAGTGTGGAGGAACTCAAGTGTCCTGCAAAGAGCCCTGACCTCAACCCTTAACCGTATTTAACACATTTCAGATGAATTGGAATGCTCATTACTAGTGGATTGGGCAAAATAAATTTCCACAGACACACTCAAAAATCTTGTGTAAAGCCGTTACAGAGGTGTGCATGTGTGTGTGTGAGGGGGGTTGAGCCAGAGGCATATCTATTGCAAGGCAAACTAGGCATATGCCTTGGATGGCACTTTCGGCAATAAACACCGCCCTCAAACCAGGAGGCAGAGGCTCCAGCTTCTGATGGGTTATGCAAAATGCGCAGCGGGCTTCCCTGCTACTCTCAAAGTACAACCTGTCAGAAGCTGGATACAATGTGCACCTGTTTAAATATTAACATGTGTGCGCTGTGTCCCTCAGAGTGAGAGGAGAAGCTGAGGCTGAGTTCTCCGTTGCCTCTGACTTTTGTCAGGATTAAAAAATAAATTGAGACAGGGGTGCGCACTGAGCGCCTTCAGAAAATCTAGACTCTTTGTTTTGGCAAAACTTGTCTATAATTTAGGTAAAGGTTAATAGTCAAGTATGTAAGTACTCCTACATAAAACACAGAAAACACAATCTAATTTGATCACAGCATTGGTACTATCCTCAGCAGCCATGGAGAAAAAAGCTAAGCGGAGCAGGATACAGAAAAAATGGCAAAAAAAAGCAAACATTAGGAGTGGAGTTTACAGATGAAGGGGTGGGACAGGGTGGGACAGGGTGGGGCAAATTTAGATTGGGGGGTTGTCTGAGTTTAGTCTTGCCTAGGGCAGCACAAACCCAAAATACACCACTGGGTTGAGCAGCTGCATATTAATGCCCATGGTTTTGGGATGGATTATCCAATGAGCTCAAATAAGTGTAATGGTCAAGTGCCCATGAGGCTTTTGTTACATAGTATGTTAGGGAAAACATTTTCTTAGGTTGTGGTACGTTGTACACAGTATAGTATATGAAATACTCAGAGCTCACATATGTGAGCTTGATGCTGCCTAAATCTTTGTAGATGCCCCAGCTTGATGCTTGTGGACATGAGCCATTAGACAGATATGAAACAATAAAAATGTGAACTTTGATCAGTAAGCTTGCAATAAAAATACTAAAAGTTTTGTATTAATTATGAAAATTGTACAATGTAGAACAAATCAATAGCTGTTTATTTTTGCATTTATCACCTGGTAACATAAAAGGTGTGTCGGACAGTTTTATGATAATGCTGTATCATTTTTCCACTGTTGTCTGTTGAAGGAAGCCTGTTACCTAGAAAAGAGTACTTGGTCGTGCACTGATTCATTAACTGGATAAAGTAATATGTTTATGCTGATTCTGTCAGTGCCCTGATTAATGATAGAAAACAGTTTAAAAGAAAACCTGTGGAAAAGGCTTAATCTATGATCCAAAAATCTTAATAGAGACCTGACAGCATAGACTGTTAAACAATATCATTTATTATAACATTGGTCTCCACAGCTTAGTCTGCATCAGTTCAGTACCACCTTCACTTATGCCCACTATCAAAGCAACCTATTGGCAGGGCAGGTATTTGTATACATGGGGCATGCAAATAGTGATGTTGGGAAAGTCAGTATCTATATAGGTGCTCCAGGGATCACTCAACATGTTATTAGGTCTGTACTAAGGCTTTTTCTTTAAAGCTAAGCTTTTTCTTTAAAGCTTTACCTTTTACAAAGCTTCACTTTAAATTCTTAACTATGTGCCCTGTGTTGGCACAAAGCTTTGTTCAAAACTCAAATAAGAACCAGTCAGAATCCTTGTTTTAGTTCAATGCTTGACTGCAGAAGTAATTAAAAGCTGATTCACAGCTGATTCAGTGGCTAAAATAAGTTTATATTTAAAGTTATGACCAATTTTGCATTTATATCTTACAAATATCTACATACTTGATTCTTTAAATGGTATTGCAATTTAACAAAACTGTTAATAACGCTATAGAAAGTATTTATGAATAAAGCAAAACCGATGAGAAAATTGCGGACCAGAGAAAAGTGATTTCTTATTTCCTGAATGAGAAATTATAGAAATAAACATAAATTTCCTAATAGTTCTATATATCTGTTTATTTTTACATTTTTAAAAACAAAAAACGCAGAGCACAACATACACTTAAAGGACCATCTTGGATTACAAGACATTTACTTATGGTAACCACCAAATATTCCAAAACAAAGAACAGAATAAAGATTGAATTGCTCAGACAACACAAAAAGGAGATGTTGAACATTGTGATATAATCATTAGACTGCATTGGTTAGACAGTTATCATCAAGCCAAAGATTTTCCTGAGTTTTCTATGTGGTCTTTTGATTGTAATTTTTTAATCAATATGTGTATGTGAGGTTCTCTGTGCAAAAGCTTGATTCAAATAATTAAGATACATCTTGAGCATTCAAAGTTATAGATACCCACTTTCCTATAATAATAATAATAAAGATATTGCCATGCATGAAAATGTAAGGTAGAGCTGGCCTTTAGAGCCATCTACTGGATGTGTTTGCAAACTACAACTGTGCTGTTACATAAAAATAAAAAAATCGAATACATTATATTAAGTTCTGAACATTTTGAACTAAAAATCACTAGAAGATCACAGGTACACCAGTGTCTCACACTGTGCTTTTATGCTGAAATTCAATAAAAACATACATTCCTAATCTGTATGTTTGTCTTTAAGTCCTAAATTAACGTGAGAAACCATGTTCAATGAGTGCAAAGTGAGGGATTAAACTGTGATTAGAGGTAGTGGCTAGCAGGTTTCACTACTGCATAGTGAGACTTGCTAACCACATCTGCAAAAAATGAGGGGTAACCTCACTGCATGACTGTATGGTAGCACTTGCAGAGTGTTTTTTGGAAGCAATATTTAGATGGAAACTCACACCAAGATAAATATATAGGCTACCATCACCACCACCTTCTGGTTTCCTGGCTGTCATGTTGACCTTCTTGCTTGAGTACTTCCAACGTTTCTGGAAATACTTTAGCAGGTATCCGCTTACTTTGTAAAGGATTTGTATTTATATCCATATAGTCTTGGAATGTACATAGCCTTATTAGACAGCAGAGCCAGGTTGATGACCCGACTGCTCTCTGCTGCAGTAAGGTAACACTGCTAGGTCACCCACTCCCCCCGGCCTGTGACTGAACAATGAAGAAGCAGTAGACTGATAACAGTATCCCTTTGATCACTCTGCTCTCTCCTCCTGCAAGAATGTTGCTTTGGTAGCACATGTGCACTGCAGCAGAGCCTGAAGGGTCCCTACTCCCTTGCGCTGCTCCCATCTCAGTTCTGTTGTACGGGAGATTAGATAAGAGGGTAATATCAAGAAAGCCTTAGATACTCAGAGTAGTTGCATTTAAAAATGCATTGAATGATTATGTAGAGAATATATAACTGCATTAATTGATATCTTAAATACTGCCTGCTGTTCAGCTTCAATGTTTACATTTCAAAGTTGATTGTGTTCCACTATTTACATTTAATATAAACAGCCAAACTGTTTCAGAATTGCCCCAGAATTGTTTTATCATCATTTAAAACCTCTTGTTGTATATGTATGGGTATAGGTGATGGTTTTCTGTGCAAGCGCTGATTGAACAATCTGTCTTTATAGTTATTCTACAGGGTTGTAGCTGACATTGAGCCAGGCGAAGAGCTCTTATTGTTTATGAAGAGCGAAGATTATACACATGCAACAATGGCTCCTGACATTCATGGTAAGCGCCACTCTGTTCTTCATTGTTTAGTGCCCACATGGTGTGACCCAGAGGAAGAAAGTCATCCATTAAGTCAGGCACAAAAGATTGCATTTAGTGGCTTAGTACAAAGAGCAGTGGTAAACAGTTACCCACAGCAACTAATCACTGATTAACCTGATCAGTCTAATGACATAAAATACAAAACATGATAGTTTTCTGGGGGTTATGGCATACTGTAATTCTCTGCATCTTGAAAAAAGGGCCCTAGATGCTTTAAAGTTGACCATCCATTTATTTAATTTGTCATTTTATCCAGCATCATGTGCTTTGTTTGCAAGGAAAGTTCTTTTCAATCTTCTATGGGCTGTGATGGTGTGTACTTCTAATCTCTTTTGGGCTGGGATGGGCTCTGCTTCAAAAACTCTGTAAGATTTCTGTGAGTAACGATTTACTTTGTCATGCAGAGGAGTGTCAGTATCGTTGTGAAGAATGTGATCAGCTGTTTGAGTCAAATGACGAACTGAACGACCACCAGAAGTTTCCCTGCCATATGCCCCACTCAGCATTTTCTCTAGTAGATGATAACTTTCAGCAGAATCTAAATGAAGACAATGACCTCATTGAGATCCAGCACTCCCATGAGTGTAAAGAATGTGATCAAATCTTCCCAGACATGCAAAGGTCAGATATCATTTTATATTCTTATTTTGCTTACTTTGGTGAGTGCTGGGGAGAAAATTTACTATATTGTAACCATTACATTCCAAATAGTGGTTGACCGAATCATTTACAGTAGACTGCATCGTAATGGGTAGATCAAATGATCCATTCTGCCACACAATTTAAGTAGATCTTCACCCCAAATTTTCTTTTTTATTCTGAACAGAATACGTAAGGTGGGGTAGTGTCAACAGCACTGAAATTAAAGGGAAATGTTGAATTTTACAGTTGACATTGGAACAGGAGTGGAGAGGAAATTCCTCAGTAGGGACACTTGTTGCATTGACAGCTGTCCAAGAGGGATTTCCCCTCACTTTTGCAGAATTTTCATCCGACTTTCTGTTGTGTTTCCAGTACATGAAGTGAGGAGAAGTTCACCAATGAGATACAGTAATAAAAACCTGACAAGCTTTAATACTTCCCCAATCTATTCAAACCTAGAAACAAATGACTTGAATGCCATTCTTTATTCTTGTGTGCCGTAAGTTCATACCATAAAATGGTATGAATGTAGTTCTGTGGTTCATTTTCCTGTTTACTTGCTTTGGATCATCTCGTTGCACAGCTATGGGAGACAGTTTTAAAAGAGAAGTGCAGGTAGAATAAAACATACGCTCCCTGCTACTTAGCGCCAGCATGGGACACTGCAGCTGTCACATGACGCCTTTATATATCGAGAGCTGAGCGATCATGAAACCGCTGATCACTCAGCTCACAATCTCCTCCCCCTCCCCTCCCTGCTTCTCCAGCACTCATTGGAGGGACAGGTGGGGATGGGGTGGGCATGACTGGCTCTAGCTATGGAAAGGCAGAGCCAGCTGTCACTTAGGCAGTCGGGATGAATACCGACAATATTGTCATGATCCATGTCAGCTGTGCCACGGCTGTGCTCAGTGATCACATATTAGCCCACTGTATGCTGGCTTTGGTTCAAAGAAGTACATTAGTAATTGTACTTCTGTCACCCAAAAGAGAAGTAAAAAAAAAAAGTTTGGCTTTGCTTCTCTTTTAAGTCCTTTGTTGTATATAAACTGAAGAATACTTCTCTTAAAATCACGCTTCATTTGAATGTATACAACACATATTGGAAAATGTAAAATTGCAATTAACAAAGTGCCCATTTCTTGCCATTGAGCTCCAGAGCAATGTTTTTATCCATGGAGCATACATGCTAGTCTCCGGCTATTTCATGCATGTTGTTAGAGACTGCTGAATGTCTATTCTTTTCAGTTAGGCATACCTTATCAGTGAGGCAAGAGGATCAGCAGCAAAACCTGCTTATATAATGAGTTAATATGGCTGTCTCATGTAAATGTATAATTACAAATGATTCAGTATATATAAAAGCTTATGAATTGTTTATTTTTTATTATATGTACTTTACAATGGTCATGTCTCTTTTGACATGCCTGTTAAGTGCACAGGGGTGAATGCTGGCAGAGAGGAATGTAAAACTAATGGGCACAATTAATTATTGTGTAAATAAAAGTAACTGTTAAGAAGCCAGGTTTTAGAAGTTTGGAATAGTCAGATTATTAAAAGCTGATGTTTGTTTGGTGGATATGAGTAAATATGCACAGCTATATATGCTGTTAATTTATTTTGTTTCATCATACCTCACACACTTGACCCACCTCACTGACAGGTCATACAGTCTTAGCAAAGCAATTGCCCATTTTTTATATATTACACTTTGTATTTTATCCTTAGCCTGGACAAGCACTTACTGTCCCACACAGAGGAGAGGGAGTACAAATGTGACCAGTGCCCCAAAGCCTTTAACTGGAAGTCTAACTTGATTCGCCATCAAATGTCACATGATACTGGAAAGCACTATGAATGTGAAAACTGCTCCAAGGTAATGTGAATTTGTGTTTGGTCATTTCATTGTATAAGACAAGCATGATTCATAAGTTCTAAAATATTCCTAACCTTGAACCATGGATGTGCCTATTGTAATCCAACAAAGGAGAGAAAATAGCTCCATATTGACCTAAATGCATCAGAGGGAGGGGTTAAGCAAGATGTGAATGGCTATACTGATCAATAAAGTTGTACATTTATTGAAGAGTGGGCTGTGCAGCCTCTTTTTTTTGGATAAGATGAGGCATGCTGGTTTGTATAAGCTTGCATGCACCATTAGTATAGCTAATTAAGGAGACCTGCGGCAAAGCATTGTTATTGTGTTGCAAATTTGTGTCTATATCTAAATGTTGAACCATAAGCCTACCAGTACATTACAGCATGCACATTCATTAAACTTTCATATGAATATAATGGCATAATGAGAAACATAAATGACCAACTGCATTGGTTTGTAATTCAGAATTCTGCAATAATTAAAATGAATATTTCTTGTCAAGAAGAGACAACATCATCATTCTTTTTACAGAAGACCTGGCTAATGTGTACTCATTTCCTAGCAGGTTTTCACTGATCCCAGCAACCTCCAAAGGCACATACGGTCCCAGCATGTTGGTGCTCGGGCCCACGCCTGTTCAGAGTGTGGTAAAACGTTTGCAACTTCATCAGGTCTGAAGCAACACAAGCACATCCACAGTAGTGTAAAGCCCTTTGTATGTAAGTAACTTGTTTTATTGTTGTTTCCTTTAAACTTTGTTTTTGTTTTTATTTTTGCCTCAAGACATTGACAAATAGGAAGCAGAGGATGGGAACATCCTGTAGGAACAGCTATCAGGACTAAACAAAAGCCTGTTCATTAACTGATATAGTCATTGTGCTGCCTGGAAAGAATAGCCAATATAGTGATACATTTAACACATCCAAATGAATGAAAGATTATAGCTTCATTTAGAAGACCTTCCTTTAATTTATCCAAGTTGTAGCTATGCAAAGAATGCTGGCCATAGACAGACCACTTATTTGTGAGATTTGATGATATTTTTTTCCAAATTACAGGGATAACTGAACAATGAAAGAACAATAGTAACACATATGCTCTCATAATGTATGATTCATAATATTTTAGGCAATCAATAATAGTTTTACATCATTAGTGTTTTAGCAGTAGCATATTCCGTCTAGACTGCCTAGTGGTTTCTGTTCATAAAGATTCAACTATCAGACAATTGTATACATTGATAACAAACCTCTTGCAAGCAATGATTTTACAGCATGTTGGTAACGTATTCTGCGGACATTCTCTTTTTTTCTTAAAATTACCATTTCACTATATGTAAAGCTTTGATCATCATCCTTGGCCATGGAATTGTTGTTGAATCGTATGAAAAATGTACAGCCCTTTATATTCTGTCCACATACACAGAGATATCAGAGGAGTGCAGAAGAATAGTAAAGGGCTTTTTAATACTGGGAAATGTAAAAATAGGATTGGGAACCAATATAGCTGAGGATAGGTGCCAAAGGTATAGTTAGGTATAGCTATTTTAACAAATTATTCCTATAACTTCTGTGCTCTGACTTTGCCGAACAGATATTTGCAATCAGCTGATTGTATGGTGAATTAGTATAGGGATCTATTGGTCCCTTAGCTAGCTGTCTAAGGGCCTCAGACTCTAATCCTCAGACGCCAAGTCCATGAGAGCAGGGGTAAAATAAGGATCTAGCTCTTATTGAGTTATAGTGTGTACAGGGAATTGTGGGGCAGGATTCCCCAACTGTAAAGGGGATATATTCAACAAGGAAGTACTACAGTCAGCAGGAGCAAACTTACAGAGGCAATCAGTCCACAAAGCGAATTCATTTACTCAGTATAACAAATATCTGATTCCTATTAGTGTTCACCCACTCAATGCCGATAGCCCTGATTAACTACAAATTTGGGTTTAGGTGAACTTGTTCACTCACCTCTTTCTAACAGTTCAACTTAAAGCCTTATTTAATTGAACTATGCAAAGCATGAAAGCAACCTATTGAGTGTGCGAAGGCTTTGCTTGTGCCAGCATCTGGATTATTCCATGTTTGTGCTAAATCCAGTTAGCAGAGATACTTTTGCAACAGAGGCTATCATTGCATAGAGGCACAGGATTGAGGGTTACTCTTTTCTCTGCAGTGGTGTTGTAGCAAGTTAAGTTGTTTTAGCAGCTGCTACCAAGGTCTTGGCCCCAAGTTGTTCAGCCTTTAGCCATATTTATAAAATTGTTTGCCTTTTGTTTTTCTGAACCTACTTTTCAATACTATACCTACAGTGATTAAAGACTGCAGCATAATGGGTGCTACAGTCCCTGCTCTCCTGTAAAGGATCCCTGGATGACTCCATGTCTTCTGGATGACTGTTGTGTGCTGTATACTTAATAAGTGCACTCACGTGCATACTAAGTTTTAAGTCATTTACTTTCCATGTTAATGGGATGTTCCAAACATCCCAGCAATTCCATACTTTCTTCCTGTGATTACATAATTTGGAATGTTTCAAAGTTGTGCAGTGAAAGTGTTTTACATGCAAAGGTGCTATCTGTTTCCATCCAAGGGCCACACACAGTGTACAGCACACCAGTCTGTTTATGGCAACTGTCTCTTATTACACTATTCTGTTCAAACATGAGCAAAGGCTCACCGACACAAAGGTAATTACTCACTGCCTTTGCAAACTGTTCAGGTCCTCCAAATAGAAACCACATGCTATAATTGGTCTGGAATATTCAGCAGACTGCTTAATGTGTTTAATAAGCAGAAAATATGCTATTTTGACTGCTATCTTATTCCACTCTTCCCAAAAAATGACAAATTGAGCACGCTAGATGTTGATAGGATAATGCTGACGGGGGCATTGGATTTGTCTAGATTGTAGAGGTTGTTGCTGTGATGAAGTGATGAAAGATGGTAAAGGATGTGATCATGTACATTCTTCAATCTGAGCATCAGCACTGGAGGTGGCGGGACAGAAGAAGAGTGTCTATTGTTGGTTAAGTGTACTGTATGGAAACTATTAGCCCATCTGGTTTACTTAAAGCCAGATATTATGTACAGGGTGATTTTACAGAGACTTGTTCTGTTTTCCAAAATTGCTCAAAGGCCACATTAATGCAGAACCCTCTCTTGTTCAATGTGTGAGGCCTAATCAGCACGGAAGAGTATAATACATTGCCTATCCCTGCACTCTCTGTGGATTTAATCTGCTTAATTAGTATAATAGCATTTTTACTGTTCCGTCATTAGCAAGTAACCATTAAGGCTTTTTCTTGTATTGTCTCATTAGTCAATGAACAAAATAGACCTCTAAGAAGTGATCATTTTAAATTACAGGTGGGTCTGATAAATATTTATCCACCTTTTTGCCACTATAATATGACTGAGTATGAGTATAAATGTGAAATAAAAATCATCTATGTGAAAACAAATGTAATATTTTATTGTAAATTTCAAGCTGATAAAAACATCACTGGCAATGTTTTACTCTGCAGTTCATGAACTAGTATGATCCCATATAGAATTTATTCAATCAGTCCACTACTTCATAATGACTTAAATGCAGAGATGAGCACAAATGATTATTGCTCATCTGATTATGATTTCTGTAATTTACGGGCATGTTTTGGGTGAAGGTAAATTAGAAGCGCAGATGTTGCAGTAATTCTTTGTATTCTTATTGTGATGCTCTATTTATAATATGAGGTGATGCCAGGGTAAATATTTGAAAGATGACAGCAAGTGCTCTGGATTGTCAAGGACAAGGGTTTTCCAAGTGCTGGAAGGTTAGCCCTGGTGTGAGTGGAAGTCAGGGACGTGATTACAGTTCATGGGAACCAGCAATGCAGGATGAGATACATTCAATTTGGTTTCCTTCACATGCTTAAAATAGAGCTATTGTCAGTTTGGGCAGCCTGTCTCTAACCCTGCGAAAGGATTCTTGCGAATGGCTCGGAATGCTCACTGTTTATAGTTATATGTCTTTGATGTGTGAATGATGAGAACATTGTGATCTGTAATACATCCTCTGCAGGTACAAGCAATGCTCCCTGTAACTGACACCTTGTACTGTAGTTGATAAGTTGTTTGCTGGGAATAGCCACTATTAAAAGTGCTAAGTGAGAAATTTTCAACATTTTTCAAATGCACATGGCTATCTTAAATTAAATCCAAGTTGCTGATAAAAAGTGTAAATACTGAAATACAATCAGGATGAGTACGCAACATAGTTAACATGTGATGCAAGGAGTTTACAGGAAGATGAAAACAATATGTATATACTCATTGATTGAACATTGCATTAGGGGAAAATGGCTTTGTTCTCATAGAAAATTATCAGTATCTTATTTTCATTTCCAATTCTAAATAGCAAGAAATAAATAATTTTAAAGCATATTTACTATAGGTAACAAAATAATTTTTCTTTAGAACTGTTTTCATACATGAGTTAATAGTGGTAAGAAGAAAAAGTATTGTCAAGGTGATACCACACATTAGGATTTGCAGGTCTAATTTTAGAAGTCTCCAGTGCTGTAACGTTTGCACTATAAGAGTTAATATTATCTAGGTGTTTCTTAACCCACAGGTTTGACATTTCTTCCACTCCATGGTACTTAACATTATATCTGTGTTCCATGCTAGCGCAATGGAATACACCTTTTGTTTTGATGCATGGAGGTTAGTTTTCTAAAAAATATTCACATTTTAATTTTTTGTAGGCATGGCATTCAAAGTGAATACCTATTTACTATTATTCTCCTTGAAAAATGAAAATACTCTTTTCTAAACATAAAGCCTCTACTCATTTGGTGAATCAACCCCATAATGCCAATTGTACTATGTTGCTTCTCAGGTAGTGTTATGCTACATTTTGCCATATGACTGTTCCCAGTTTTTTTCTGACCATGAATGTATACTATGTCTTCAGTGGCTGAATGATGAATTATTTTTGATTAGTTTTTCTGGAGTTGATTTGCTAAAGGAGTAGATAGTAGTCACTTGCAAAATGAATGTTTACCTTGTGACACACAACTTTCATTTATGCTATTCAAAGTGCCCAAATCCTCACCATATTTACTGAGTTAAGTGAAACTTGTTAATCAACCCCTTTGAATAATATCAGTTGTTTAGTCTAAAGGTATGCATACAAATTCATTTTTCCAATACCAAGATATTCTAAAACCCAATTATATGTGTGTGCAATGGGAACAATAAGAAATTACTCTTGCATACCCAGATCAGGTCCAACAGTCATTTGCCAATCTTCAAAACATTTCAATCAACTATCCATTGATCCTGGGTATTTGTAGAGATACGCTTGTTCCACGTCTGCAGGTTCATGAAATAGGTCCTAAACAGTACGTGAATGGGTATAACTAAAAATGATTTAGTATATTAGATCTTCTCTTGGCAAACAAGCAAAAGATGTCTGCGGATTTCCCAGAATAACCTGTCACTTTCTGAAATATAATATTCATCAATCAATTTAATGCTAGTTATGATTATTTTCTAATAAACATTACCTGTTAGCTAAGCTGTTTTCAAAGCTTCCTCTTTTCATAGAAATCAGTTGGCCTGTCTCTTGGCACAGAATCTGGCCTGTGGTAATTATTTTAAGGACATTCTCCTAACTCTGTTCTACATCAGTTCCTTTTTAATCTCTCTAATTTCTCCTAGCAGACGCATTTAAAATAGATGCTGTACTTTAATGTTCATTTCAGGAAATCTGTGCTAATTACCTCTGTTCTCCATCTTACGTGTAAGCTTCCTCATCCCTCATAGCAAAGCCACCTTCTCCTTGCTACAAATCTTATGGTTCTTCCTATCCTTTTCACTACTCCATGCCCAGTCCAAAGGTTTCCATGTAGACCGCTAACTATAAAAAAAAGTATACAATACATAACATTTTGCAGATTGATATTACAATAGACCGTTTTCAAAGGTTTGTACTGCCCAATATTGAAAGCTCCTTGAATCTAAACAACTTTAGAAGGAGTAAATATAGGAGTAAATTATGGAAGACAACTAATTTTATGTATCCAGAAAGGTATTGACTAGCAGCACTGGAATCTGTAATGTATGGTTTCTAGAAAATATATTCTGCTAGCTTTCCCCTACGGCAAAGGCATATGCAAAGAGATCTCTCTAATAACTGTATATCTGCTTACTCTTTAGTGGAGGTAGAGATACAAAATCCAGCTTTCATGAAGCCATGTGTTAGTATATAATGAAAAGCTGATTGCTTCCACTAATTGCACTGTGTAGCATGTGAATTTTTAAGCAGCACATGAAGAGTTTTAGACAGGTATGTAGTATTAAAAGCACATAACAGTTAAGCTGTTTCTTTTTTTTCTGAACAGGTGAAGTGTGCCACAAGTCTTACACTCAGTTTTCGAATCTTTGCCGACACAAACGTATGCATGCGGACTGCAGGACTCAAATCAAATGCAAAGACTGTGGACAAATGTTCAGCACGACATCATCACTTAATAAGCACAGACGATTTTGTGAAGGGAAGAATCACTTTGCTGCTGGAGGGTTATTTGGTCAAGGGATTTCACTTCCAGGGGCTCCATCTTTGGACAAAGCTTCTATGATCAGTATGAACCATGCAAACCCAGGGCTTGCTGATTATTTTGGTGCTAGTCGGCATACTGCTGGCCTTACATTTCCAACAGCTCCTGGATTCTCTTTTGGTTTCCCTGGTCTTTTCCCCTCAGGTCTATATCATAGGCCTCCTCTAATCAATGCCAGCTCCCCAGTTAAAGGACTTCCCAGTGTTAACCAGGTTAACAAGAATCCCAATATGAACAGACCTCAGGTCTTACCAGCGACACAGGACATTTTGAAAACACTGAGTAAACACCCATCTCTGTGTGATTCAAAATCCACAGGATTCCTAGGAGAAAATAATGCTGACCAAAGGCTGCATGACAAAACCAGTGACCAGTCAGAGAGCAGTGACCTTGATGATGTCAGCACGCCAAGTGGTAGTGACTTGGAGACCACTTCTGGCTCTGATCTTGAAAGTGATGTTGAAAGTGATAAGGAGAAAATCAAAGAAAATGGCAAAATATATCAGGAGACAATGAGCCCACTGCAGAATCTTGCTGCACTAAACAGCAAGAGAGATTACAACAGCCATTCTGTTTTCTCACCATGTTTAGAGGAACAGACTGCCGTGTCTGGAGCTGTGAATGACTCCATAAAAGCTATCGCCTCTATTGCTGAAAAGTACTTTGGATCAACAGGACTTGTAGGCCTACCAGATAAAAAAGGTGGATCTTTACCTTACCCATCTATGTTTCCCCTTCCTTTTTTTCCAGCATTTTCCCAATCAGTATACCCATTTCCAGAGAGAGATGTAAGACCTCCCCCTCTTAAAGTGGAACCAGAGTCTCCAAAAGAAATAAAGAAAGTGCAAAAGAGTAATACAGAGTCTCCATTTGATCTTACCGTGAAGCGTAAGGAGGAAAAAACGGTACCAAATGTACCCTCAAAGCCACTAAACCCAGTGTCTGCTAGTCCCGATCAGCCTTTAGACTTGAGTATGGGAAGTAGAAGTCGAGCTGTGCCAACAAAACAAGCAGAGCCATCCAGAAAGAACCATACATTTGGAGACAAAAAAGATTTTGATGTAGATCAAGCAAAACATTCTGATCACTGTTTGCAACATGCCAGACCTGTACCTTTCTTCATGGATCCTATCTACAGGTAGATTCTAAAATTCTATTGGAGTTTGTTAACATTGTTATGGTGTTTATTAGTATGCCCTTGTTTGTTAACATTAAAGGTGATGACAGTTACCTGTAATGCAAAATAATTGGAGTGCCAAAAAACTAAGTCCCATAAAGAATGCTTATATTTAAACCCGCATTAGCTTTAAAATGGCATAAAATGTTTGTACCACATCATTATAAATTGCTTGCACAGTATGAGTACTGAACCTGTAAAATAAGTGACTTCTCTTGAAGCAGCAGAGGAGGTAGTGATCTTTATCAAACTGGGCCTGGTATTGATTACAGGACATGCAATGCCAACCTTGACTTTAAGATCAATTGGCCCCATGGAATGCAGAACATTCATATAAATGTAATGATATAAAGAAGTTAAATACGGTTGGATTAAGTTTGGTCTTGCTACCACAACTACAACAGAGAGGCTGAATATGAATAGGCAACCTGCAAAAACATTTGACAAAAGCTATAAAATACAGTTTCTTTATTTCTCTGTTTTCAGAATCAAATTGTTTTGAGTGGCATAAACGCAGGTTAATAATACAATTGTCATATTCTATAGATATTCCTACTTATTTTCAAAACAAGTTGGACATTAATTTAGGCTCAATTTAAACCTAGACAAGTAATCCCATTAATTTTCATTACCTCTGTTCACACCTGAGCGTTTTTTCGCATGTTTTTTTCACACAAAGTTTCCCATTGAACTCTATGGCACCTAAAAATGCTGCAATCTGCCAAAAAGTAACTCATGTACTTTTTCCAGTGACAGGCATTTTTCTGCTTGCAACAAAATGTTCATGTGTCAAACAGGGGCCATAGAAATGAATGGGATTCCTTCTCTTGAGTGTTTTGTCATGCTCAAGATAAGCGAATGGGATTCCTTGTCTTGACCGTTTTGTCGCCTTACCTTTGAGCGACAAAACTCATAGGTGTTAATGGGAAATTATCTTCGGGAATATGCAAATAATTTGTGCAGCTTAAATAGGTTTATTAACAATCAGTAAAGCTTATGGCAGGATTTTACACTGATGGCTGTCCAACTTGGTATGATGGATCTTTGTAAAAGTAGAATCTTTATTTTTCACCATTGAGGTACAGCTTTAATGCTAGATAACAGTATTTCAATTAAGTTCCATGAGAGCATCCAGTGGTATGCGATTAAGAGAAATGGCCAATGCGGCCTTTCTCAGCTGACAGCTCAACCTTTCTAGGCTGCATATTCTACATTATCTTAAATATTTATTACCTTTATACCTTTGAATTATCTTTTATGTAAGAAATATTCAGAATGTTATTTTATATATAAAAAAATGTTTAAACCAGCCCCAGCATCATCTTCTAAAGTTTATCTTTTGTTTTAGGGTAGAAAAAAGAAAATTATTAGATCCTCTTGAAATTCTTAAACAAAAGTATTTAAGGCCTTCTCCTGGATTCCTATTCCATCCACAGGTATGTACAAAATGAACATTCAGGAATCTATATAAAGACAACATAATGGAAAGATGTCCTTTTATGGCACTCATTTTTCAACACCTGTAACAACAACATTAATATCATGTGTCCTTATTGCTGCATTAATAGCCTTAATAAGCTTTAAAATATGAAATACATGTTTGCTTAGATCAGAGGTTTTCAGCATTTTTATTATGTAGTTTCAAGCATCACTTATCAGTTTTATGTGATCACTTACTATCTATTTGCCATTGTTTCGGGAACCTGATATGATTCATAAGAGAGATGCATTAGGTTATATAATAGCTGACCCCTAACAGAGATTCTGGAACCATTCGGAGTCTTAAAACATAGGTTGTACCCATCTGGTCTGCATGATGAAAGTAATCACTGTAAACATTGCATGTTTGTTGCTGGAGTAGTTAACAGAAGGAGCACTTAGTTCAAATAACCAACACAACCCTAGCTTTACTCAAAACTCTGTGTACTAAGGAAGTTTCAGCTATTTAAATGTGCAAACACCCACAAAAATAGTGATGGAAGGCATAATAACTCCATGGCAGCACTTACCTTTGTAACTGATCAAATACATAGGACCTTATTTATTCTAAATATATCTATTTCTCCTTTAAGAATAGATAACCACTTAACTGTTGAACCTCTTAACAAGATGTGTTTAGAATGGTTAATGATCTCAAGTGAACTACAAAATAGATGAGATTGTTTTGAAACATGAGTTGCTTGCATCAGCAATGGAACACCAGCAAATGTTACCTTTATGGATGCACAAGACATATGAATAACGGAGAAAGTGACTTACTGCTTCTCTCTAATTAGTATAATGTATTGACATCTCCAGACAGGTGCACTCACTCTTCTCAACAAAGAGGCCTTTCTCCACAAGGGAGTAAATGCATCAGCCGGCTTTGTTTGCCAGGAGAAAATGTATTAACCTAATAGTGTGATATTGGAAGACTTTTGCAAGGACAGTTTTAAAAGTGCATTTGGTCCGCATCCAAGTATGCACTCATTTAAAAGGAAGGGACCGCCTAATATTATTGTGTATCTCGAGATTCCAACACTAACCTCAAAAATGTATTTTGGATGTATTTGATGTGTTAGCTTTGGTCTATATTTCAGTATTGTAAACATTGCTCATCTTTAGGCACTTGCGTTAATGCTTGTTTCTCATAATCCATGCTGTATAGACACGAAACAATTTTTTGGAAGCTGTATTGTTTGTATTATTGTATAGCTGTGTTATTTGTCCTGCTATAGTATAGTTTTCATTTATGTTCAAGCACTCCATATGCTAATCTTAGGCAATTAATAGCTCAACACTATAATACAGAATTTAGGTATCAATAGGATCTTCTTAGATAACATTTAAAGTGTTGCAGACTCTTTACATTTATTTTAGACTATACAGTACAGTAAGCTTTGCCTTTTCTGAAAGTATTTTTTCTGCAGGGTAGTATTTTGACAATTATGACAAGTTTGAACTAAGTAGCAAAAAAACCTATTCATACTATTTAGCCAAAGCCTTGTGACTTTAGCCAAATAACAACATTTTAAAAGCAATCCCATAAATAGGAATGTGGAAGAATTTAATCACAGCAGATACTCACACAGTTTAACAATCCTTGGTGGTGCATGAACACGAGTTCTAAACAGTGCCCGAGTTATTGGTAAATAATAAATCATGCTTCCTGAAGCATAGTCATACCCATATTTTCAAAATTGTAGGTTAATGGGTATTCCCAGGGTAGATTTTCAAAACAGATTTGCAGAACCCACTACTGCAATGATTTTGCCAACCCTGAGTTTGCCAACCCCTGCTCTACAACACACAGACTAATTAAATAAGGCAAAGACCAATGTGCAAAGTGCAGTACCTATCAGCATCCAATAGCAATCAGCAATCATCTAATATCAATAAGAAATCTGAATTTTTTTCACTACTCTGAGCATCTATGGGCTACTGGCTGTACCTGGCACATTATCATTGCTCCTTGTAATATTCAATTTAAAAAGTCCACTAATGGCTATCTTATCAAATTAAATATTATCACATTACAGTATGTTACTGCAATACATTTCCATTTTGTTGATATTATTTATGTTAGAATCTCATACTTGCCATTCTAAAAGCTTAACTATCTTTTTAATCATTTTAACAGTTCCCTATGCCTGATCAAAGAACCTGGGTGAGTATTTTTTGTGTTTTTTTTAGCCAATATGAAACATGTTAATTGTATTAATAAATTAAGGCATTTGTCTTATATGTATAATTTGACAGTGCTTGTGATTTACTGTGAAGCTATAATTTCAAATGTCCGAAAAAATCAACTTATCACAGTATAATATCTGCAAGATATAGTTTTGCATGGGATAGCCTAATACAATTATTTATTGCTCTAAAAATATTACTAGTTTATTTTGATTTTTCTTTGCTAAAAGTTTATTTAAGTAACTTCTTAATGGAAACGCTACATAAATTATATTATAATCTCAGTATCATACAGACAATCCATCACTGGTAGTGAAAAGATGAACTTTTTGTCAAACTTTGCAGTACTCATAATTTTATTAATTAATTTTGTCTTGATAAAACATTACAAAGATACATGTTCATATGTAAAAAGAGCAGCAGATGTATGAAGATTTTTTCCTGTTGATAACATAAATATAGATTCATCTAATTTTTCTCATGCAAAAAAGGTTAAAATAGGGTTTAGATACTTTATATTATTATTACTACAAATTTTTTTGCATACTAATGTCCAACAATATAACTAGTCTATCTTAAGCCCACTTTTGTAAATTGTTAGAGGCAGAGCCAGCTGTACCCGCCCCCTCCCCGTCCGTTCCTCCAGCCAGGAGGATCAAAGCTGGGAGGGGAGGAATCCCTGCAGGGAGCCTTGACTGACAGTCACCGCTCTCTGCACGGAGATGATCGAGAAGTGGGCGAGCGACGGTATGCGTTCACTCACTTCCCGATCTATTGAGCCGACGTGTGACAGTTTCATTGTCACACGTCAGCTCGAACTATGATGCTGAGTGATTTTCACTCACCTCATAGTTCTCCTTTAAGTGAAACAATATTCAGTACATTTCTACAATACATGCACATTTCCCCAGGCTTTATCCTTTTATATACTGTGCAAGTTCAGAAATAGACCTGTTGATCTGCCTGAAATGCACTCAGCTTCTAAGTTCTGTTGTGGGCTGACATCATCCAGCTTTTTTGTGGAGTGTTGTCAGCCTTCCCAATAAGGATGCACTGATACCAGTTTTTTGCTATTGAGAACGAGTATCAAAATTTATATTTCGGTACTCGGGGATACTGAGTACCGATACCAGTACTTCTGCTAGCATGGAGCTTCCCGGACAATCAGGAACCCGGCTTTCCAGCCAATCAGCATGGAGCCAGCCAAACAGCATGGAGCCGGCTTCCCAGGCCAATCAGGAAGCTGGGCGGCAAATCATTACCCATTGCCCAGCTTCCAGATTGGCCGGGAAGCCGACTCCATGCTGTTTGACACGAAACTGGTTGGCCCAGCAAGGCAGTTTCCCAGCCAATCAGCATCAAGCCGACCAAACAGCATGAAGCGGACTTCCCAGGCCAATCAGAAAGCCGGGCGCTTAGTCATTACCCATCGCCTGGCTTCCTGATTGGCCGGGAAGCCAGCTCCATGTTCCATCGCAACACTGCCGGTCAGAGGAAATCTCCCTCTGACGGAAGTTCCGGTATCGGAGCATTTGGGAGAGTATGAGTATGCGCCAAAATACTCGGTATCGACACCGATGCCTATACTAGTATTGGTATCTGTGGATCCCTACTTCCCAATGTCTTTTGTTAATCTAGGCCACTCTTACTCCTAGGTCTCTACAAAATGAAAGCATTTTTTTTCTAAGATTAAAAATTGGTGAGCTAGAAAGCATCTTTGAGATAACACAGGATGGGTGCAGAGGACACAGGACAGCTCTGAATTTCTGGCGCGATTAGCAGCTTTTTGTCTTCCAATCAATTAATTTTTAGGATTTACACAAAGGTTTAGAAAAAATAGGTGTGGCTTATTCTCAGGTTTTATTTGACCTCTTGGTAATATTTCTAGTTAAAGTGACATTAAACCCTCAGATTTTTTAACATAAAACAAAACTGTAATGTGTGCCTTACTGTAATCCATGGTTGTTTCCCTTCTCTTTGCTACTCTTCCTTTTAAATCCTCATGTCTTCTCATGCTTGGGGAGAACTTCCCTTTGCAGCTGAGTGCCTCTTTCTGTAGTGCTGGCTCAGGTTGCAAACCTACACACAGGTCAAGGCAGTCTGCTGCAAAACAGAAGTTCTGCCCAGCATGAGAACAGATACAGATTTAAAAGGAAGATCAGCAAAGAGAAGGGAAACAACCATGGATTACAGTAAGGCACACATTACAGTATTTTTTTATGTTAAAAAATCTGAGGGTTTAATGTCACTTTAAGGCTGGCCATGACTGGTCTTATATCACCATAAGACAACCTGATGCTACACTTTGGCAAAGATTGGACCATTTGGGGTCACTATTGTGGGCCAACAAAAAGCAATTCTGATTTCAGAAAAGATTGTTATTGCCACAATGTTTTTCTAGCTTGTGACAAATTTCCACTGTGTTAGGTCGCTTTCATTTCTTAATGACACTTATTTTTCCAACTTACATCTTAAAGATATAGGAAAAGTGTTAACAAGAGTGCACCACTTTTTTTTCATGGGGAAGGTGGTGTTACAGAGGATGAGCAGATGTCTATTCCCATTGTTTTTATATTTAGTGTATCAGTTCTAGATTCAGTGATTTTTACATACAATCTAATATGAATTTACTATAACTCTGTATCAAAAATGTTCTTTTACTTACATTTTTAGATATAGTTGCCCTAAACTAATTGCTACATGGGTCCTGACAACTATATTTTAAGGGTAATGCTGGCCATTGACAGGAAGATTTTGTGAAGATTCGCCTAATAAAGGATATTCTGTGAATACAAACAGCATTGCAGCTCTTAGATAGCAGAAAATAGCAGTGCAATTAATTTTTTCAATAAGAAATCGGTATCAGTTGAAGTGATTGTTTAGCACACAGGGCACTGCAGGCTACTACCATTCAAAGTACAAAAAACCTGGATTGAAAGACCAACTACCCTAAAATCATGTCATCATTCATCACATACACAATAGCAAAACATGTTCCTGTTTTTCTTTTAAGATAATCTTTATAAGACATATTGAATAAATTGTTTACTCTTGCTAAATCTCCACAAAAACTGGTTTGTCAAGGGACTGATCTCTATTTCTGGATTCTATAGGCATGCAAGCTTTGGCATCCAAAACAAGACCCCTCTGCTAGGGTCACCTTTTTTACAGTGAACATTTTATTTTTTTAATGTTGCTGATGCCTAACCTGGCTTAGAATGTTGTGACAGTGTGTAAAAAAAAGATTGCATGAGGTGTGTTTTTTTTTTACTTCTGATGATGGGACAAACGGTGTGGGTGATATTTGCTGCCTATAAGCACCACTCTACCATGCCTAATGATACATCTGGCCGTGGGCCTGTGTATGGTCAGCCTTAGAGAAAAGACAGATGGGAAATGTGACTATAATTTTATACTAAGCTGAACATTTTCCTACACATTTCTGTTACACTAACAAATTCAGAGGCCACAAAACAAAAACCTAGCTTGACCTGTATGTCTAACAATACATGATAGAGTCAGAGATCACACTGACTGAAGTTACAGCATGTGGTTTGTGAATCCAGATTGTTTATCTCAATAGTGCAAAAGATTGAAAAGAATGCTGTACTCTGTTTCAGCAGATAATTAGATACAGAACTCATACAGTTACACGTATTCATGAGAGTGTGCTTATGAGTGAATATATACAGTATATATATATATAACTACAGCACTTACACAAAACCCTGTCTAAGCTTGTAATTTTCCTAAGTGAATTATATTGATTGGAATATATTATCCGTATAATTTGTAACATAACACCCTTCTTTGTAGAGGAATTTGTTTTAAAATGCTGATTTAATTTTAATGTCCAAAGCTTCTCAGGAAGTGGTTACAATCCCTGGGCTTGTTTGAAAATTAACTCTTACAACTTATCATTGGCAAGCCTCTCCTGACCGCCTGGAAGAATTCCATAACATTTCGAAGGCAAAGCGGCTCATTCTAATAATTACACTTAAAGATTGCATTGCCTCTGTGTATATTACATAGGCGCATGTGAGGTCAGTGTTGTTCTGGCAAGGCTAGAGCCAGATCTTATGAAGCTCTTTATATGTAATGTTAGTAATTGAAAATAAAACCAGCCCTGAACATGGCTTGCAGCTATCAATAGATATTACAGTAATGGGCTTTGTGAGCTATTTTCCATGTAAATGGGCTATGATTTTAGAATCTCTCAGAGCACAAAAATGTCAAGTGATTTAATACCTCTAGATAATGAAACTGACTAGAGTATTAAATGGATATAAATAAAAGATATGTATTATCTTTAGTGAAGTACTTATTATTGCTAACCATAATATATGCTATCGTAACCTGTGTGCTTTTTCCTTCAACGCTAATCAGCCTGAAGGGCAAAGGTCATTTTTCATTCACAAAACATTTTCCCATTATACCTGTCCAAATACTGAATTGATTTCTTACCCAGAGCAGTCGGACTAGATTATAAGCTGTGGAATTCATGCTGCGTGTGATAAAAAATTGATTTTTAATAAATAAAAAAATAGAAGGGTAAAAAAAGCTGAAAATGCTAATTCTCCAGATGCTTGGGTTAGATAATGGCATTGCTCTGCTGGGATGGAATTACCTGCTATGAGATCAGCAGTAACATTACAGAGCTGTCTGCCCTATGATCAGTAGGTGTCAAGATCCTTCATGTTGACAAATGTGCTGTCCATAAGCATCTGTGCAGAATGTATTAGCAGCGGCATGATTATGAATCAAACCTATGTGAGCCTGCAACCCTCGCTGCATCCCAGGCTTGTTGTATTTGCTGTATGACAAGTAAATGCATCTTGACTTCCTTTGGAGGTTTTTTCCCCCCTGTTCTGCGTTTGAAAGACACACAGCAAATTGGGAATGGTATTCTGTACGCTGCAATTTGTAGCTAACGTTAAAAGCTCCAAGCATGGAACGGGAGGGCAAGACTGAATGTCACAGGGGAAAAAAACAGAGAGTATTATAGATGAAAACAGAATAAAACATAGGGCAGTGATGGGAAAAAGTGAAAGATTTGCAGTCCTCTAAGCTGGTTCTGCTTTCTCAAAGGTTCAACCACAATATTAAGAGTAGTAGCAGGACCTTGTCTAGCAATGGCACTTGAGGCTGGCCAGTTTTTTTATTTTCTCTGTTTACAGAAAATCTTTTTGTATCAAACTGGGTTACCTTAATGTCACAGCAGATGGAAATAGTAGCCAACTGTTCATTAGCTTTGTGGCAAAAGTCTTTTCTTACTTTTGTCAAACCAGTGCTTCTTATCTTGCCTTGCTCGGTACCAGCCGCTAGGACTTAACAATTCACACAGGAAGTATATTTACTAAGCAGTATTGACAGTCAGAACAGATTCTATCCTTTCTTAAAGCACACATGAAGGCAAAAAAACACCATATGCAGTACATCTTTCCAATATGTGCACATTTCCCTACGTCTTATCCCTTTAAAGAACCTGCAAGAACAGAAAAAATACCTGTTGATCTACCAGAAATACATTTAGCTCTTTTTTTCCTATTGTAGGCTGGTAACAAACAGAATTTATGTGGATTAATTGGTGTCAGCCCTGCCCAGTTTCTTTTACTAAACTACTCATCCACTCCCACTGTCTTCATCTCTTAAGCATAGGCAATAATTGTCTTGCAGTCCTAAGATAGAAACTTGAATGGCTAAATAGACTCTTTGAGAGCACATGGCACGAGAAAGCTCAGAACTTCTGGCAAGTTCACCAGGTTTTTTTTCACTTATTAAACGATACAAGAAAATGTTTAGAATGCTATTTTATCAGACCAAAAGAGAGCAAAACAGGCACGTTCACAGTTTGCATACACTTTTATTGGTGTTCACAAAATACAGTTTTCTGATATTTTATAAAATCTTCCTGCAACTGTTCTCTGGTCATTTTCATTGTACTTGTACTTAAGCTCATAGACTGTGTTTTAAACCAACAGTTTACAATGAGAAGAGAGCACATACTCTAAATCCTTTTTTCAGTATGGAATCTATCATTATATAGGATTTTATGAACATGGCCAAGCAGATGGAATTTTCTTTTGTCTTGTTAATGGTATTTTGGGATTCATCTGCTATTGAACAGACCACCTGTGTGGAAAGAAAATGAGCTGGCATCCGCACAGTTATATAAATGGTTGTTAAACATAAAATATATCTTATCAAGAATACACTGAAATAAGTGCTTACATGCAAGCAAACTTAATTGGGTGCCTGGATTTCTTTTCAAGTTTTTTTTATTGACTTATTTAAATATAATGTTACATTATACTGCAGAAATGTGCATAGTATTTTCATTGTGTGAGTCATAACATAGACTTATTAGATTTGGTGGTGAGCTTTTGAACATTTTATTTAAAATACTATTGTACTGTCTACAACTACACAATTGTGCTAGTGCCATTATACTTTAGTTTAAAGCAGAAATTATTAGCAAAGTGCAATAACTTATAGCACCCAGTCAAATTTAACCTTTGTTACAGGGACTCTGTTATGAAGCAAAACACCTATGTGATTACGCTTTCATGGAGGAAGCCATTGGCCAACTCATGTGCTGCATGCAATTCCAGAGCTTAGCAAATAAAAATGGCACAAAAATCAGGGAGTGACTAGTACCATTATGCCTTAATCACATGGAATTCCTACATAGGAAAATTCCCTGACATTTATAGAAGACACAAATGTGAAAGGTGGCTGCTGACTGATCGCATGAAAGATGGCGGCTGAATGGACAGGCCACATTAACGTAATGAATACGCTTTATATTAACAAGATAAGACATTTTATTTTTTACTAGTTTGGAACTTTTAATACGTTTTAATAAGTTTTGTTGTGTTGTAAGCCAGTACCTCATTTAAAATATACTATCCTAATGCTTAATAGTTTGCTTTTGTTATTACTTGCAGATGTCGGCAATAGAAAATATGGCGGAAAAGCTAGAGAGTTTTAATGCCCTTAAACCAGAGGCTAGTGAGCTTATACAATCTGTTCCTTCCATGTTTAACTTTCGAACCGCACCAGCTGCCCTTCCAGAAAATATCCTTCGAAAAGGAAAAGAACGATATACCTGCAGGTACACAAACATATTAATCTATTTTGAAGTTATGTAAATGTGCACTGTGGAAATGGAGAAGATATTATTACATGAAATAACAGGTGATTCCTCATGAGGGGCCATTTGATAAAATGACACAACAAAGATGATTGGGTAGGGAGAGTTAGGCATCCTGACATTTAAATGCTATTTACAGGGTGATATTTGTTTCCCAATTAAGTTTGTTTCAGCTAAATCAGACACCAATCTAATGTTCTATTGATGCAGCAGATACACCTCCAGCCTACTGTGTTTCCGGTGGAGAAAAGGATCATTCAGAAAAGTTTAAATGGTTTCTGTCATGAGAAAAGTATTGCTGACCTCTCCTTTGGGAATGCTAGTTCCCTGGTTGTCATGATTATGCTTTGGATTCAATACTTTCTGAGGCTCTGATCCAGAACAAACATAGAGATGAAGAGTTCTGACACTTTTCTCATTTACATCATGCTTTTTCCAGCTGTATGAATGCATTAAACCCACACACAGTGAGGCAACTAGCATTTTCAAAAGAGGGCCAGTATTGGCAGACCCCATCATTTTTTCATAAGAGTGTCACTTTAAAAAACTTGTTGTATTGCTGCTGGTGAGCTCAACAGGTGATCAAAGCCTGCATAGTTACAGTATTTGTGGCACTGACTACAAAAAAAAGGTGGGAAGGTGGGAAATGGGAGGAAGGTGGGAAATTATGATAATATAGAGCACAGTTAGGGAAACAAATTAGCTGCATGTATAGGCAGAGGGTATTTTAAAAAGAATACTAGGCCAGATCTATATATTGGAAATCCAGAGGCATATAATGTGTTGGAACACTGCCCCATCATGTTGTTAATAATGCTGGGTGCTGATGTTTAGAGAAAAAAATGAAAAAAGTGTCACTGTCGCTCTGATGAAGGATCCCTGTGTGGACCCGAAACGTTAGCACCGTATGACAGCATGTGACATTGGGTATTGAATAAATATATCAATACTTTAAAAACCCTTCAAGTGTGTGCCGGTGAATTACTTTTATTTACTATCAGTGTTTTGCACAGCGCCATCTGTGTGGTCACCAGGGCACCACATATACCTGGTGGTTTTGAGACTGTGGCAGTGCGAATGGGATTTGGACTTTGCTCTATAGAGTTGAGACATTTGCGAAATCTCCACGACAAATCTCCACAAGCACTGAGAATGGTAACCTTACCATGATGGTCTTACACCTGCTGTAGTTAAACATTGAAGAGACATTGAGATTTATGTCTGGGTGTCAGAGTGGGTCATGTGTAGTAAAATTGTGACCTGTATATCCTACCACATTAATTTTACTGATGAATTGTATAGTTGTATGAGTTGTAGAGTTGTATACATATTGTAGAAAAAGACAAGAATTATAACTTACAATGAGCATTAAGGGATGTGTGGGAGGCATTTTTTAATAGACATTTCAGTTCTGGATTAGCTCTGTGGGGGTGAAATCAGTAATAAAAAGTAATGTTCTTTTGTAGGAAAAATTATTTCTTATCTTTTTACTCAGGTACTGTGGGAAAATTTTCCCAAGATCTGCGAATCTAACGCGGCATCTACGGACTCATACAGGAGAACAGCCTTACCGGTATGAAATATTTTAGATCTTATCAGTTATGTTATTGCTGTTCAAATAAACCCAAAGTACTTGAAATTATTGACTACAAATATTGCTGGTTTCAGAGTTTGGTGTAGGTTTGACTTTCTAATCCCATAACCAATAAATATTATGTACAATTAACAATTAAAGGGTATAATGTGGTTTTGTTTATATCTTCTGTCGATATTTTTTACAGACAACAACAATAAACAACACTTTTTTTCGAAAAATGTTTTTAGTTAGGTAATGTGAAATACTAGATATGAATGGTTTGTATTCCAATAGCCAGAGTGAAGTTCTTTATTCACATAAATATCACATTTTAATTCACATTATCATGATCTGTTATCCTGACAAAGCATGTTGCTTACAGAGTTAAAAAGCTCAAGAGCTCAAGCTGTGATTTGCACACATAAGAGAATATGTTACAACAGTGACTTAGAAGACATAGAAAAGCGGGAAAAGCATTAAAAGCTGTTTGCCAATCATGGATTTGAAATATAAATTGAACATTTAGAAACTCAATTATATATTGAATCCTTCCATCATATGAACATATTAAAATTCCTTGATTTATCAATAGATAGGAATATTTATAGTGCAGTAAATCTAACATTTACCAAACATCCACTGCAGGTGAATCTTCCAGGAACATGTGTGTTAAATGACAGTGATTGTTTCACCACCTGTAAATATTTATTGAAAACCACATTGCTTTATGAATTGTCCACATTATACAATAAAATGAAACTTTAAAATGTGTGTCCATTATATGCTCCTTGGCATAGTGTACACATGAAAATGCAAACTTACATTGTAGCCTTATTTAATAAGACAAAATACAGTAACCTTTAGCAATTAAATCTTTGCTGTCTTCATGTGCTCTGGGCATTGCTGCTATCTGTCACTTCCGAGCTTGTCAGATGGTGTATCCCTCATTAGGCACCATGGTATTTTCTACAGGTTTCTACATCACTACAGGACACAGCGGCCAGTGGATAAAACCATGGTGCTTAGTTGGGGGACATGCTATCCGAAACACCCAAATTTGTCGGATAGCAGCAGCACACAGACCTCATGAAGATAGTGCAGTTTTCACTCACTTGCAGGTGAGGTAAGTAATAAGTCTTTTCATTGAAGGGGACAGCTATCTGTATTTTTTAATAATTTAAAATGTGTAATGTTGAAGTTTGAGAGTCTAATTCGTGGACAGTTTTTCAAACTTATCGTAAGTCCTGAAAACTGCTAACTTTAATCTGAACCCCATTGAAATCAAGGACGGTGAATCTGTAAAATCAGTTCTGGACATTTTTAAGGCTAATAGGCATGGCATCATCAAGCAAAGGTCATTGGAAGCTGCGCACTGCATTGATTGATAGCAGTCAGCAGCAAAAGGCCTGTACTATTGGGACACGCTCAGTGAGCACCCAAGGTGAAAAGATCAAAGCATGCCCCCCTTCCTCCATGGTTTAGCAGTATAGCTTTCAAGTTCCGACCTTTTAGCAGCTTCCCCACCCAGGAGAGCTCTACCTCTCAGCCTGTCCCTGCCAGCACTCCTGCTCCTTCATTATTTTACACTCTCCTCCCCACAAGATTAACAATCTGCATCTTCTGCAACATCTGCAGCCTCGAATGATAGCGAATACATTTTCGAGATTTTTAGGGGTTTACCTTATGGCACATCAAGCAGGGAAGGGTGTCATCATGAGGTCCCGCCGAGTGTGGCAAAGTGTAATTTGAACCTTTGCGTAGGTCTCATAACCCTTCCCTGCCATCTCCAGCAGCAACCTTGATCAGGCAGATATCCCCTAATCACCCCCCATGCCCAGTGTATCAAGGCCAGAATGGTAACACTGCTGACTTTACAGATGCCCGATTCTAGCTAGTGGTGATGGGGACCTTCCAGCAGTCAATGCCCTGTGCTTCACGACAGTGGCAAGTGCCCACGGTCCACATGACCACACAATTGTGGTCCAGCTAGCATGCACAGTAATTGTATAATACCTTCATGTCCATACTAGGCAAATTTGATGGCAGGAAAGATGCAGAACAGAGCACAATTGCTTAGCTGGTGGTGCCACCTCATGTCATGCACCTTCTCAAAGGCCTCAGATGGTAACTCCTCAAAACCACCAGAACCCACCACATGCCTCAAAGCTTATTCAATTGCCCAGGCAAGATATTGCCATACTGTTTTGTAGCTGGTATGCCTGCAAAAAAGATGCCCCACTCTGAGCAGGTGTTACAGAGAAACACAACAAATGATATGAATGCAGAAAAATAATAATAATAATAATAAAAAGCTCTGTTTGATATAACTATCCTGACACCGAAACAAAGTTTGTGCATGCGGCCGGATAATGATTTCCATATACTGTTGTGTGGAGTGCTATACTAAAATAAGAATACATCAGAGTGCAGTCTTCAAAAGAGGATTACCACAAAGGAGGAACCGACGTACTGTTTGAGCTAATCTGCTGTGATGTGTCTTGTGTTAAACAGTTTTCACAAACCTCTGTCTCTTGGTTCTAGATGCAAATATTGTGACCGATCCTTCAGTATCTCCTCCAACCTTCAACGACATGTTCGCAACATTCACAACAAGGAGAAACCATTCAAGTGTCACCTATGTGATAGATGTTTTGGTCAGCAAACTAACCTGGATCGACATCTAAAAAAGCATGAGAATGGAAACCTCTCTGGTATGCTATATTTAATCTGTGATGAGGGTCCTAAGAGTATTCCTTTAGTGCTTTATGCTTCTGATGTGATTGAGAAAATAAAAATGAAAAATTGGCTGCCAGGGCCAAGTATTACTGTAAACGAACATAAAGCAAAGGCCAAGCTGAGTTTGCTGATCTATTTTATAGTAAAACCTGTTTGAAAGACATGTATGGTCCTACACTTCATACATGTGTGTGGTTTTGAGACAGTGGTGTTGCTATATTTATTGTAGGATTAGTCTGGCTGCAGGAGGGAGTCTGTTTTTTAGACAATAGGAAGTTGAGTTTACACATGGATTTCATCTTTTCTACTCATTGACCCTGGACACCTTTTTGTGTAAATGGTGTTTTTCGCAAACCTCCCTATGCCTGAAGACTCAAGGCAGCTATTGTAGTCACAATGCACAGTGCGTTTTACTGCACTGTGGGAGTATGAGAATTGACCCTTTTTATTTCTTCCATAGGTACAGCTGCATCATCCCCTCACTCAGAGTCTGAAGGCACAGGAGCCATTCTAGATGACAAGGAAGATTCATATTTTACAGAAATTCGAAATTTTATTGGCAACAGCAGCAATAACAAGCAGTCACCTTTAAACTCTGAAGACAGGTAAGCATATACTGTAATATATTAGTTTGTATATTTACTCTGTAATTAATTGTAATAAAATAATATAATGTATAATAATATAATGTATAATCAATTCTGTATTTAATCCTGACATCTGGTTTTGAGACAGAAAACAGAGAATAGTTATTCTTTGCAAGGAATTTACTGTATACTTTGCAAGAGCATTTTCCATTAGCTTAGTGAATGAAGTGAAGCTCTGCTGACTTCCATTATCCAATCATGTGCAAGCAAAAATATGTTTTGTTTTTTTTTCCTTGCACATGATTGGGTATGCTTTTGCAAATTGAATTTTAGCACATTCACTAAGCGAAGGGAATTTTTTTTGCGAAGTTATCCATATAGTATATCAGCCCCATACTGCCCGTTTCCTTGTGATTATAAGTTTGCATGTGTATGTTGTGCATGTTGTGATCTGTGAAAACAGCAGAGGTTCAATCAAAAAATTATACAGTTTCTGTTCAAAGTTTCCTGTGATTGTGGTTTTACAGTTTGCTATGTATACTGCCCAGTAGTCATATTATGCCCAGATGATGGGTACCTATAGATAGATACAAAGGCTGATCACCAGATACAGCGAATAAGGAGTAACCAGTTTAGAAAATACATAAATGCACAGGTTCTCTTGGTTTGTAATAAAATGAAAATGTATTATAATTATTAGTAGAAATGTATATTATATAATGCACAAAAGATGCCAGCCTGTTCATTAAAAAGGGTAAACAGTCAATAGTATCAACAAAATACATTGAAACTATTATTTAAAAAAAATATGACAAAATGTTTAAGAAATTAATTGTAGGAAAAAGTCTGAATGCATTTAAAAAAAATCATATTTCCTTTGTCTTTTGATTGGTGACATGCATTAAACATCTGGCCACAACATGTCCCTAAACAGGAAGTTAATAAGAAGTGAGGGTCATAGGGTCAGCCAGTGTTTCCTTTTCAGAATTTAGCATTCTGACTGTGCTTGATGGATATTTTATCCCTGGCAAATTACTGAACTTGGAGACGTAATTAGCAAATCTGTTTATTCAATCATAAAGCTTTCCTTTCTTTGGGTCCGGTTCATGAAACATTCATCCATGAGAAATGTGATGTAGCATAACTAGCACCATTATTTTGGCAATGCCACCTACTATTTTTTTCCAGTTCCTGCTGGTGGTCCAAATGCACAATCATTATACTCAGATAAAAGATAGAGGTAGTCACCATGTGTTTTGAACTTGCCAGCAATTACCCTGTTTTGAGGCCGATGGATTCATTGCTTATTCAGCCTTTCAGTTTTAAATAAATCATTTCCTGACTTTTTACATTGATCCCTTTTTAACAGTGTTGACTTTTCATGTATCCTAGTGGGGGACAAGTATTCAAGAAGAGAGGGATGTCAAAGAAAAACAGAGCCCTGAATAGTCAAGTCTTAATATACAGAGGAAACTAATTGTCTGGGAAGTGTACAAGATAATTTGGAGAATTACTGAATCAATTCTAATGGGGCTACAGTTGATTTAGCAAACAGGTTATTTTCTGAGAAAAAAAGGCATCTTATGTAGTAACTGTAGAAGCCGCTCTGTCCTAAGGTTGGAATAGATTCTTAGAAATTATTAACTGAATTTAACCAGTCTATAATAGAGAATTGTATACAAACTGCTTAGGTGTTGCTAAGATGGAGTTAGTGATTTTATGAGCTTTATGATGTTATTTGGTGCTTGATATGTGAGAAACAGATGCAGTTTAAGACCTGGAGATCTCAGTGTTTAATGCAAAGATATGTTCTTTTTACCCATATAAACACATGACAATATTGGCTCCCATTTAGAAAAACAGAGTAAAGGGAACTATAGCTTTCTAAAGAGAAGACAAGTCAAAAGTATTTTTACACTCCTGCTGGTTCAGATCTCATTGGAACTGCTTACCAAAAGATGCATTAAGCTATAAGATTTCCATAAAATATATGTAAACCCAATCACCAAAATCATATACAAGCTTTCACACGTTAAACTAATTACAAGTAATTAATTTTTTTATTAATCTCCAGTTTCAAATATAATAATATATGTTGATCCTGTTGAGAAGGTCTTTGTGCAAGCATTTCTTGTTATAGAGTGACAACGCTCTGCCCCGTCTCTCAATTATACTCCTTTATTGTCACCCTGTTATGTGCAATCCCCAAAAAGCCTACATGTGCTGGTGCTAACACACATTGTGCAAGCATGGCCCACTGTTGTCACCATCAAGCAACCTGCTCTGAGAAACAATGGGCAGCAGTTACTGGGGTGTATGCATGTGGACAGGAAGTGACTGCAAAGAAGCTGCAGGAAATCAACAGCACTGAGATACAACAAAGAATAAAAAGGGTGAAAACAAGTATTTCATTTTTTTTAAATGTGGCAGTTACTGATGATACACAATGATTTAGAAAACTCAATGTCATTCAGTTCCAGTTTACATGTATCACAATGTTGTTTTATTTCTTGTTAAGGATGAATGGGAGCCATGATAAAATTATGCTGACTGGTCAGAATTCTGATATCTTGGATGATGATGAGATAGAGGACGACACTATTCTAGATGAAGACGATGAGGAGAATGACACTGCAGAGAAATCACTAAAGGAACAAAATTCAAGTTTGCTTGAAAACTGCCCTGAAAATGACTTTGAGGAAGAGAGTAAGGCTGCATTAAACTGCAAAGTCTCCCCCAACAGGTTGGTGCATTTCGTTAACATAAATGCTCTCTTATATGCACTTCCCACCTATCAGTTTTCAGAGCATGAATTTCCCCTGTGGGCCTGGGCTAAGGAGCCATTTGAAAAGCTCCAGAATAGCCTTATTGTAGTAATACTCCTGCTTTCAACACAAGAACCCGGGAACATTGCTAATGCACAGCAATATGCTTTATGAATGTGATTAGTGCATCGCTCACTTTGGGACTCTGGGACAGACAAAATACATTTGCTGTTGGGTAGGCTGAAGAACTAGGCGTATACCAATACTGCATCATGATGTACACTAATTTCAGAGGCCACAAATAGACAAGAAACCCTACATTCACAGGGATGCTGACATTCACAAAGCGCTAGCAAGCTGATAAAATGAAAGTATAGTGTTCTCAGTGAGTAAATAATTTGAGTTACTGTTGTCTTCCCTTAAAGTAATTTTTATGTACGGTAATTTTAAAATTCTTACAAGCTTTCCCTTCATTATGTTTGATATTGTAGTAGATATAAAAAAGTGTAGGCTAGCAACTGGAAGGAGCTCTGACTGGGTCAGTGCAATTATCCTGTATGTCTTGTAGTAACTGTTGAGATAAGACATCTGCTACAAAGGGAGCACATTGTTTTTAATGAGTTGGCCAACTTATAGACTTGCATTGGAAGAAGGAGCAGTAAATCACACTAAGGCTCCATTCACACAGGAGCGGTTGACTGCGCATATCCGAACGAATACATGCAAAACTGCTCTAAACATAAAAAACAATGCATTTTAATGTGCATTGTTCAGACTATAGCGGGGTTTTGTACCGCGCATCCCACAAAATAGTCCAAGCGCAATTTCAGGGACGTATTCTGCTGAGCGGAATCTGTGCAATTGTAAAGATTTTAGCGCTTTCGTGCCGTGCGGTCTTCTGCACAGAAAATCGCACATGAAACACAAACGCTATATGTGAATGGAGGCTCAGTGTAGCACTGTAAAGCAGGTAGCATAGGTCATATACGTTATGACTGTATCCATATGTACTTGAAAAGCATTGCTACATTTTTGGTATTGGTGGTAGTAAATGTGTTTGGATCCCTTCACACCTTTTTTGGTCTGTTGTAGTGCATTACCACACATGTGTGAAGGTTCCGTATTTTGCGCGTTCGTGTGTATTCACTGTAGTGCAGGTGCATTGTCACTTACTGTATATGTGCAGTGGAGTGCCATGCAGAATGAATGGCAGTGCATGCACATCTTTAAACTTTTTGTCCTTACAACAAGGTGTGCTTGCTGGAATAACTTATGTTTTGTATATGGTTTTTAACAGTGGCCATACCCCCTTGGTTTTTCAGGTATGATGATGACGATTTCAAAACTGGTCTGTCTGCTCTGGACCACATAAGGCACTTCACAGATAGTCTTAAGATGAGAAAAATGGATGACAGGCAATATAATGATGATGACCTCGCTGCTTTCACTGCTTCTCAATTGGCAGAGGAGTTAAAACAGCCACTATATAGAAAATCTAAGTCCCAGGTAAACATTTTATGATGTATTAAAGATTAAAACATTCATCTCTATTTTTTAAACTTTACCATTTAGGACTAAAATGTCAACTTAAAGTGGACCTTCCAAGCAAAGGGAAGGACAGCGTCCCAGCAGATGATGTCACCACTCCTCACTGTTGCCTCCTTGCTGCATAAGTCCCATAAAAATGCATTCCTGCAATAGATGGGGATGCATTCTTGCAGGTTTTGGGATGCCCAGCTATCCCAGGAGTCAGCAGTGGGCACGATGACGTCACTTGTGCCTCCCAGAAGTGGGGACTGCAATTAGTATTTTCTATCTTTTTTTTGTTAAATTTTATTTTTAAATTTTTTTTGCTGCTAATTTTGTTCGGGTTGCAGGGGGCTAGCAGGGAAGTGGAGGTACTGTTTTTCAGGGAAGGTCCTCTTTAAAGCTGAACTCCAGGAATTTAAAAAAGTTAACTCATGCACTGGGGCTACCCCCACACTGCATGGGTTAACTGTTTTTTATTTGAGTCTAGGGGCTCAAATAAAAACATATACTTACCTGATCCTTGATCCTGCCTGGCAGCTAGACTGGTCCCTGCAGCTTCTTCTCCCCCAGGCTTCGACGATCTAAGCCCTGCTGACTCATCATGTCTAATGCAGGTTCATTTACCAGCATTAGATGTAAGGATGCCAAGGGTCATATCACAGCTCAAGCAGAGGGGGAGAGAGGTGAGGGCTCATCACTGCGGGACCAAGGATCAGGTGAGTATACCTTCTGAATGTCGGCCCCTAGAGAAAAAAAGCAGTTAACCCTTGCAGTGTGGGGGTAGCCCCACTGCAAGGGCTCATGTTAAAAATAAATGGAGCTCCTCTTTAAAGAAAATCTTACACTGCTCTACTTTTGAAAATCCTGGCTTTGGGCTTGTGTCAATGGCATCAGTTTGATGCTTCGGGGATCATCAGAATTTATTGACAGTTGCATTTGACCTGCAGCTAACCTGCAATTGGCCTACTTCAACTGGGTTTAGCATTCCAATAAACATGTATGGGAAAACAAAATGTGTATTACATAAAGAAAACCTCATCTGCACAGACCCTTACAGTGCTCAGCCCATCCTAGACACTGGTGTAAACCTGATGGTTACACCATGTGCAATGTTATTGCTTCATAGCTCCCTGGGTTCCATGCCCCTATTCAGAATCCAACATGGAATGTTTGTAATGAGAATACGTTCTATATTACAGCAGATAGTTGATACAGTATTGAGAATGATAGCCATTTTTACTTTGCTGGTAGCATTTCTACTCAGGAAAGTTGTATGTTATTCTAGCTAGTGAACTTTATAGTTTATTGTAGAGAACTGGAGACTTGGGCATTACTTTGCTTATCAGCTACTTTTTATGGCTGTTTAAAAGTACAGTTTATATTTAAATAAACAATAAAGAAGACATAAATAAAGCAATAAACAAGAAATAAATAAGCAAAATAACATCAGAAACTGCTTTTGACATTTGAAGTGGGTTGACTGCCATATCTTACATGCATCGCACAATACATAAATATACTGTAAATTAATAAAATTACTTTTTATCATTTAAGTGACCTGAAACTCACCATTCAGCTAAACTGATGATATCTGGTAAATTAAATAAAGGCTTGGTAAAATGATTAATGCCTTTATATTTATAGTGGTTGTATTATATAGGGGCCATGCCTCTTTCAGTCTTTGGAAGAATTTGATGTGACCATTCCTAGTTTCTCATTATGTCTTAGCTGTTCATGGTGGGGGCAGGCACAAACCCTAGAAAACCTACTGATCCTTAGAGTACATACAAGCAACACATTATTCTGGGTAACAGTATTAGAAGTTATATGCATAGAAATAAGCCTCCCACCTTCAATAACGGAGACAAAATTGCCAAACAAAAGTTGTTTAAAGACCTAAACAGTTCAAAACATCTGTATGCCCACACACCACCTTCATAAATTCAATCATTTTATTCAGCCTTACTAAAATAACAGATGCTTACATGTTCCAGACATAGAATAACAAACCACATTACAATTCAGTTTAAATACATTTCCACCACCAGGTCCTCCTGTCCACTTCCTACTGAAGAGCTAAATGAGAGACCCAGTCTAGAGTTAGAACAGTTGTTTATACCATGTCATGCATTGATATAACATGAGCTTGGTATGTTAGAAAGCACCCTCATGATGCACAAGTCCTTTTATATTTATGTTTATCTAATTCTCCAGCATTCAGGTTTAATACATTTTTAAACTACTACACATATGGAAATTGTGACAGGCTCTGTGTGAAAAGTGCTAAACAAAGTTATACTACAATGTGTGTAATGTCATGTTTTGTTTTTCTTTTAGGCATATGCTATGATGCTGTCTCTATCAGACCAGGAACCACTGCATAGCGCAACCCACAATTCCCCCAGCATGTGGCACAACATGGCAAGGGCAGCTGCCGAATCCACTGCTCTACACTCCATGAGTCATGTATGACATAGCGACGGTACCTCCTTGGGACCAAGTCCGACATCTAGCTTGACACTTCCACGTGGGACATTTTAGGAAGAAAAAGACTGTAGAGCAGGATGCCTTATTACCTGCAGGGTCATCTAAAAGTCTGATGACCTTAATTTAAAAAAAAGAAACTATTTATTCTCATTGTTTTGTTTTGCACAGCAAAGGCAGCTGCGGATTACCAGAGCAAAAAAGGTGGACTACGAAGATAACGGACTTTGGTGGACGCTGAGTCTTCCAGATCATTTTGTGTTATCCTAACACATTTACAAGCACTCAAAGAAAATCCAGAATCTTTTTTATACACACTACTTTTAAGTGTGACATAATGAGTAGCTTCAACACAGACAATTTCTATTACATAAGCTTCATGTATTTAAACAGAAGTAGCTATTTACAAATGTACATTATCACTTAATGTAGTAAAATAACAGGGAATCATTTGTTCTTTCCTTAATTATGTCTTAATTACTTTGTGGGGGAAAAGAAATTATGTGTATATTGTGAATTTTACAATGTTCAGTACTCAAAGAGAGCTTAAGTCATTAAGGGTCATTTTCACCACTGATACCACTAATATATCGTACCGTCCAATGTTTGCCAAATCATTGTTTTAACCTTTTTAATTTTAGACAATCATTGTCAGTCAGTGTTTTGACTTTTTACCCATGTACTTGTATTTATTTCTTCTTTTTTCAACTTATGATTTTTGGTCAACATAAGATAGCACTGTTATACTTGTTATGTTGTCAGAGGCACTCACAGATTTTCCAGTGTCTGGAAAAAAAATTTCTGTATGTATGTGCTGATTGTTGTATTTCAATTTTTTCCCTTCGTTCTGAGATGAAAAATAGATGCAACTTAATTTTTTGTAATGCAGTTTTTTTTTGTTCTCTTGTACAAATTGTTTTAATTTCTTTCATGAGCGCATGATTCCTCTGATTAAAATTGTATCTGTTATTTTTTGCTGTTTGTCTGCAAGCTTGTGAGTTGTTATGTTCCTGTTAATCCTATTTGTAAAATGAAGTGTTCCAATCCTGTTTAAATATGTGTATTTTATTTTTTTTTCCTTTCACTTTTGAGGGACCAGATTTAATTTCCATTTTTTTTGTAATCTCATTTTGAAATAATTGAGGTACTTTCTTTAATTGTTTTGTACAATTGTAATTGTTACACATCCAAGTTCATTATTTTGGGAGGACTAAGTACATGAAAATAAAGAACTACATTGCTGGAGGTCAGTGTTAATTCAGCATTAATTCAGAGTCTGTGTTTAAGAAAACATTAATTGAATTTAATTCTAACTACAAGAAATGCTTTTAATTTTATCAAATATATTAATGCATTTACACTTGACAGATTACAACTGTGCTTTAGATCAAATAGGTAACCATACCTCCTAACAGTTCAAAATACAAAATTAAGGCACGGTGTTCCTCTCCCTAGTCAATCCAAACCACTAAGGACTTGAGTACAGGAGCACTTGTCTGTGTACAAACTGCTTTACTTGCAGTATCAGTCATTGCGAATGTAACAGCAACTGATAGCAGCTTGAAGCAACTTAGAAGCAGCTTGAGGCAACTCATAAGTCCCTATTAATTGCAAATGATTAGCAGCTGCTTCTTGTATATATATATATATATATATATACACACACACACACATAATTAAAAGTTAATAATTGCAGCCTCTATATTTTTGTAAGGAAAGGTAAAGCTAAACTCCCAACAAACAGCTATATTCACAGATGAAATACATATGAGTAAGCTGTTTTAGCTGAACAAAAATCCTGAGATTTACACAACCACATCACATAGCCCAACCAGATGGATGATACCACTGTAGATTATGGAATACATTGGTATTGCCTTTCTACCCCTCACTCTAGAACATGACTGCTGATTGGTTGCTATGGAATAGCACACTTAGCATATCTTTAATTTCCAGCATTCTAAATGAATAAGCTCTAATTCCCTTATTATGTTGAGCCTAGTACAGATAAAAAAAAGGTTAATAAATTAGCCTTTTTTTATGAGACCTGGTAATAGCATAAAGGCTACTGTACTGAAGCTGATACTGATGGTTCCACTAAAGCAAAATGCTGCCACTGACAATATTTAAAATCTAATATGACAGAAGGTTTTATGTGTTTGGGGTTGCAAGATTACTGTATAGGGTTATCACTGCTATGTTAAACAAAATCTAAAAGTGTATATGTGTGTACATCCATGTCAGTGTATGTAATATTTTGGATGTGGAAACAGGAATAATCCCTGTTCCTTGAAGTTCTCCAATATCCTGGAAGGAAACCTATGCTGAAATAATACATAGGCCTATGTTGAACTCTCAAACTGACCTGGAACAAATATGCAGATAAAGATTTCTGAATTTCTGTTAAATTCATTGGCTCTAAGCTTGTTCCAAGTCAGTGACACATAAAGTATTGAAGACACAGAGGGATAGGCACCAAACATTTCCAGAAGGTGCAATGGCAGCTTCCGTACTTCTTGCAGTGGCTTACTTTAACACCATCTCTATGTTTCAGCTGCTTGCAGAGATAGACTCATTAATATCACAATCATTTGCCATTGCTTTTTAGTGCTAGAAATGCAATTCATGTTAAAGATCAATATTTCTTTATTAGCTCAATTTACAAAAGTCATGTTGCATTAACTTGTACTAAAAATAACAGTAATACAGTGGGGCTTTATTGGTCGAAGTTTTATAATTCAAGTTCATAGAATGTCCGCCTTTTAAATGTTAAAAAAAAACTGTTAAATGTATCAAAAATGCATACATTAACACACTTTAAAAACACAGCATCTGGAGCAAATGTAGGCTAAATATTTGCAGATGTGCCCTCCTCTTATAGGAAATCTGTTCCGAAAGGGATATGTAGGCTGCCATTGCTGTTACAAATGCTGCTTGCTTGGTTCTGACTTCAATACTATCAGGGTCATCATTATAAAAAATTCAGGCAGCCAAGTAAGTCTTAAGTCAGTACTAGGGTTGCACAGATACCAAGTAGAGCTGCAACAGTTAATCGATTTAGTCGATTAAAATCAACGATTGAAAACGTTGCCAACGTTTTCAATCGTCGATTCGTCGGCTATCGATTGATTTCCCTGTTCGGGGCTCCAAACGCGGCCTGAAGCACACGTCGCACGCTGTTTCCGTCCCGCTGCGCCCGCCGGATATAAGCCACGCCCACCGCACGCTGCTCCCGCCGTGCCCACAGGACGCACAAGCCACGCCCCCCCCCCCCCGCTGAAGCCGCTGCTCTCCTCCATGGGCTCCCTCACTCGGCGCTGGTACGGCAGGCTCCCTCACTCGGCGCTGGTACGGCAGGCTCCCTCACTCGGCGCTGGTACGGCAGGCTCCCTCACTCGGCGCTGGTACGGTAGGCTCCTTCAACCTTTCAGTGCCTTACCCTTGCATCACTAAACAATTTAGCTACATTAAAAAGATTCTACCTCAAAACATGATTAACAATTCATTCAGATGGCCCCTTCTAGTATTTCTTAAAAGCCCCTCCCCTAAGGTTTTTGCACACCTTGAGGTAGAATCTTTTAAATCTAGCTATTATCTGTCAATTTGGGGCGTGCTCCCTTTGAAGTACACGGACAAAAAAATGATCTTCAATCAATAAACAATTTGTCTAAAACGTTTTCCATCGTCGATTCGTCGGCTAAAATTCAAATTTCCCGCTCGCCGCTTACGTCCGCCGCTTACGCCATGCCCACGTCAGTTAAGCCGCTCGCGCCTACGCTGGTATACCCGCTCACGCGACGCCGCTTACGCCATGCTGAGGACATGCGTCTGGCCCTCTCCTCCCCGTGAGCTTCCCGACTCGCCGCTGCCTGCCGACAATGAACAACGCCGCTGCCAGCCGACAACACCGTCATTCAAGGTAAGTCGAGATCGGCCAGGGAGCTTTGTAATGTTTCCTGTGTGTTTTTTTTTTTTAAAGAGGCACACTGCAGAACATTAGTAGCTATAGAGGAACACCAAATCCCTGCAATAATATATTATACAGCCTGTATCATTTGTAAGGAGCACACGGAGCTCCCGGGATTAGTACATTTCTGTTTTAATGTACGATTTTGTTTTTATAAATATAAATAAAGGGATGCACAGATACCAGTACTGATACTCGCCGAGTACTTACAAGTACGAGTACTGATACATTTTTGTTTATTGTCATGTGACAGTTTTTCTAAAACAATACAGACTAATGATTTCAGTACAGCGGTGGAGTGCCAGAGCCCGGTCCCAGCTGCAACCGCTGCAACCCTGATAGTTCTCATGAAAATGCCAAGTATCTGCATCGGTACTCGAAAAGTATCTGTGCATCCCTAGTCAGTACTACAGAGGATGGGAACATATTCATCAATTCTTGAAGATACATCTTTCCATCTGTAGCTGGATTTATTCATAGCAGCTTAGTTTTAAAAAAATATACTGCAGAAAATAAAATGCAGTTACAGAATCAATGCATTTCATAGGAAGCACACCTATAGTATATACAACAGACCCCTGTAGCATTCATACCCATGTGTTACAGCGAGACCTTCCCCCAAGCTTCAGTTTTGTTTACATTCTTTCAGCATGTCTCTCATTCCTTTACTTGCTGCACCTGTGCAGTAAGCCGCTTTAGAGTTCAATGGGGCCATATCCTGACACTGGACACTCTAGAGAACCATTCATCTTCATGGTGGTTATTGTGCAAATGCAGCAAGTTAAGGAGATATAAATACAAAGGATTAAAACAAAGCCATGGCTCAGGGCAGTCTGTGATAGTCACATCTAAGAATGTCTACATATGCAATCTGTAGTAAGTATGTCATTGCTAAATTCCATTTTCTATATTTGTGATTCTGTAGTCAGCAGTAGGTTGTACCCAGCCTAACTGTGCCTCAACAGGGGTGTTTCTCTAAAGCTGTATTTCTTTAAGAGTGTATTCACACTGGAGTGAGGGTGTACTGGAACTCTCGCATAGCGCATAGTGTACAGGAAAGATATGACTGTGTTATGGGTATCTGATAGCCTTGCCAATCTGTGGGGAACCTGCTGAGGCATGACTAGAGAACTATTATCTAAGCCTCTTCCTGTTTTGTCTCTTCCCTCCTGGGCTTTTGCCCTGTGGGGATGTCAGCTTAGAGGTCAGTCTCTCAAAGTCCTTGGACCTAAGCACATGAAAAGATGCAGGGATCACCCCTCCTGGGAGAAACCACAAAGGGTGTTAACTGCTGGAGAACAAGAGCATATGGCCATGAAAAAATAAGCTGCCATTGTTCCCACATATAGAGATGTAGTGATCGATATTCGAGGGGGAAGTTATATGCAGAAACCTTCTGTTTCCCTGCCTTGGAAGTGAAGACTGAGATATCACTAGAACCTCAATTGCCAAGGAGCCTGTGGTCAGAATCTATCCATCACAGTCTGTGATTTGAAAGGTAATACCTAGACACTATGAGAGGGGCTTTAAAGGTCTAGAAGAGATGATGGCCTAGTCCAGAAGCGTAACTAGAAACCTCAGGGCCCGGTGCAAGAAACCATTAAAGGCCCCCCCCCAAAAAAACAACATGATTTTGACCCCTTTTTTTCCCAAACCGGTTTGAAAGGGGTTTTTTGTGTGTGTCAGAGGGGAGAGCGGGGTACAAGCAGTCACTGATCAGTGATCGCTGAGTGTTTGTAGATAATTGAGGACATGGTATGTTTACTATATCCTCATTTATGAATGAATGGGAAGTGGTCTACATGCCCTCCTGTTCATTCATGATTGTGGTTATAGTAAACACACTATGTCCTCATGTTATGAATGAACAGGAACACTCATGGAGGATTCCTGATCATTGATAACAGGGGATACAGAAAAAGAGATTGACGGCTCTGTGTCCTCAATCTCTTTTTCTATTTTAAAAGGTAAATATAAGGGGTCTATTTAGGCCCCTACTATGTCCCCAAAGCTCCCAACAGTAAAGTAAAATAATAAAAAAAAAATTTTCATTGGAAAAGGTTAGAAAAAAAATCATTTTCGGTTTCG